GTCAGCATATCCCCAGTACAAAATCAGAATCCTGAGCAGAATCCTTTCCTAGCTTATTCTTTGTATGTGCTAAAATAAAAAAAATAGTATCTAAAAGGAAAAAAAAATGTGTTTTTCTAGATTATTAGTGTTTTAGTGGGGAGATCTGCACACAGCTGAAAAAAAAACAAGTAGTTCCATGATCATTAGCAGTTTTAGAGAACAGGTTTGTCTGGATATTTTTGACTTTTTTTTTTGTGGTTTTGTGCATCTTGCTTGAAGTTTTTCCCATGGGTATCAGCATTTGTAATGTGTCTCCTATGTGTCTCTCAAGTGTCTAATATTATAGTTGTGCTTTCATTTCAGGCTTTACTACACTGATATGAATCTATACAGTTTATTTAGCCATATATCCTCAAAATCTTAGTTTTCTGTCAAATTGAACTGAAACTGGCTAATGATGTCTGTTGATTGGAGGGTTGATAGTGACACAAAGAAAAATGTTGCATCATCCTGATGACAACACTCAGACCTCTCAACTTCTTTTTTTACCTGCTCTGCCAGGCTGTGTGACTGGAATGGACCATTCCCTCTGGAGGAGCAGTAAATGCAGCCAGGAGTCTCATAACATGCATGGAACAGGAGCTGTGGTCTGCACATGTTCTACCCTGCTTTTGCCAGACTCATGCCCACTTCTTGTTGAGCCCATAGCCTGGCACATGGAGTCAAAAGTCCACAAGAAAGGTCTGTGTTGTGCTGGGAAATATTTAGGTTGAGAGGTTAGGGTGGGAGGATGATGCAGAGAGAGGATATATGTGAGTCTAAGGAATAAAACTGAAGAGATGTTAGGTTTCTGAGGATAAATACAAATCTGATTTAATTCCTAACAAAAGAGGAGTTTTGTAAACTATCTTGACACTGGATATTGGGCCTGTGTTTTCAAAAGAGGCACAATTGACTTCCATATCTGCATTCATGTGAGCAGTTGAATGATCTTCCAAAGTGAGGCTCTTGCTTGAGATGTTGGGATTCCAAAGTGTATATTTTAGATAAGAAAAAAAAAATACTCATTATACTCCTTATAAAATAGAATATGGTATGTGCAAGTAAGATCATATATGCCTGGGTTTGAAAATTTGGCTGTGAGGAAAAATATATTTATGACATGAACAGGGAAACTGTACTGCTTTCACATCCAGTTAAGATTTCTGGGACTTCTATTTTAAACAGTGCAGTTTAAAATTATGCAGAGAAGTCATCCTAACCGGTTGCATTCAATTTGATTATCATCCACAGACATTTTATTGGCAAAATCATATCAAGCAACTTTGCCATTAGGCAGTTTCTACAAACTACTTGACACTGTCCATTTTTGCAAAATACAGGCAGCTGTCTCTGTAATGCCAGGGAAGGGGAACTGGCTCAGCAAGTGCGTTTCATTTATGAAGAACTTTTCCCATATTTGTCTATGATTCTGGTCTATGATTTTTCCCCTAACATTTTTACAAGACAGTTCATTGTTTGTAAGTTTATTTACTGAAAAGGCAAACAATCCAGAAATGGGAGTCAGCAGGGAACTTGGTGCATGAAGGAGCCTTTCCCATTTTTTTTACTGAAATGTAAAAATTCAAAACTGGCTCAGCGTGTTGCTGGGTTCTCAGAGAAACAGGAATGAACTTCAAAGTGGCCAGACCTAGGGAGACAGGTCCAAGGAAGGACAGCCATGAACTACCAAGGAGTTTTGAAGACTGAAGACCAATGTGCAATATCATTTTATACAAATACTATACAGGTTAATGCTGTGGCGTGCAGAATTATCTAAGTACTTTCTGACACAGGAAGTGGTGCACTTCCTTGGTGTTTGGCACATCGCCATACTTAATGGACAGTTATTCCCAGCAAGACTAATTTGTGTGAGCTCCTCCACAGGAATTAACTAGCTCACAACTAGCTGTATCTCTCCAAGGTATTGTACACATCTATCTGGTATTTGAAAGTTCGTAGCAGCTGGTGTTTGATGAGCAGTTTCCTTAAGAATATTAAAAAAAAAAAAAAAAGTCAAACTGCATGATGCAATTACTGTAAGGAATAGGAAAATATATTATTTTTTCACTGTGCCATGCTCTTTTACTGTCTTTTAGCCCGATGGTCACTGATACATCATTCACTTCAAGGATAATACTGTTTGCTAACTTTATTGATTACTTTTAATTTTTCTTCTTTGAAGAATTTCTGTAGCTGCAAGACATACTGTTTGTTGTTGTTTTCCTATACGTATGAGTGGTAGCCTGTTTTTCCAGTGCTCAGGCTAAATGCATCTTACAGAAAAGGGCTAAAGGCACAAGAGCAGTTGCAAGATTATTTTTCCACTGCTTGCTTATATATTCTCACGCATTTTTTTCTGATATTCTTAACTTTAAATCTCTCCTAGTATTACAGCTGTCCAGATTTTCACCTTTACCACCTGTCACATTTTTTTTTCAGCCCAGATATTCTTCTGTTTTCTAAACTGAATCTCATTGCAAAATTCTGCCTGTGTCTCTAATCTTGACATGACCCCTTGTATTATTTCTCCATTTTCAACACTGTGCTCAGCTCCTCCTAGTTTAATAGATCTGCAGATTTCATTAATGTACCATTTACTCCCTCTTCTAGCTCATTATTAAAGCTATTAAATGAGATCAGAAGTAATACTAATCTTTGTGTACCACACTAAATGCCTCCCTTCAAAGTTATTGTTTATCATTACCCTTCATTGTTTGTCATCACCCTTCATTTTAGTCAACATGATAGTTCATTTCCAATTTGATTTAAGTTTGGGAACAGAATTCTGACACATTGGAGATGAGAGAAAAGAGGCTAATCAACAGTCTTGTAGAAGCTTCTAATTTAGGCTCAATTTAGAGAATGAAAGTTAGGAGTCCTCAGTTGCAGAAAGTGTAAGGTGGAAGCTGTCCCTATAAGGTAGTTAACAGCACCTACATTTAGTTCTAAAATATTATAAAGTAGTAAAGTGCTAAAATTCAGACACATCTACTTTCCATTCATTAATTTTGAATTACTATTAAAAAATCAAATTTGCCTTGCAGACTTCAAAGTGTTTTAATAAATTTGTTTTCTCAATAGCTGTTCCATTATAATGCTTGGGATAGAAGCTAAATTTATGACTAGCAATTTCAAAGACAGCTCACAGAAAATGTGAATTTCTTCTGTCTTTAGCTGTTTCAGAGACATATGATCTTGCTTTCAAAGCAGCTGTATACTTCTGTTCCTGTGCTGTACAATTTCAAGAAAGAGGGTTTAATTTTCACACTTTTGCAAAATTAAATTTCTAAATTCCATAGTAAACACTATTAAAATCATTTGTAATATGAAGCTAGGAAACATAGATTCAGTTAGGAAATAATCACCTCTAATAATGATTAATCCCATATGATCTTATGTACCAACACCAAAATCTGTTCATCCTTCATCTTAATAGAATATCCACCTTTTCAGAAAGATAGGTTGCCAGCTTTTAGTATCAGGGCCAATTACGCTTGGTCTGTACTGACTTGCCAAAAAATATTTTTATCCAAGTACACTTGGATATCCAAGAGCTGCTCGATTTTTCCAGGGAAGACTTGGCTTGAGCTCATCTTGTTACAGTCTGTGTCAATGCAAATGTAAAGCAAAAAAACTCCAAATCTAGTCTGGAAAAAAATTGCCTCTGGGTGGAACTGACGGCTCTTATTAATTAGATTCAGCTCTGGACCTGTATGAGTTGGACAAAACAAAGGAATATTGAATTTGAAGTTGGGCTGAGGTTATTAGATGTGGGGAAAATGACCAAAGTAAGAATGAAGCTGAATCAGTCAGGCATTAAATACTAGTGTTCGGTGGTTTGCATCCCAAAGTCATGACCTGCAGCAAGTCTAATGGAAATATAATTGCAAGTCCCCTTTCTGTGGCAAAAGGTGGGTTCATGAGTCCCGAAATGTGACCAAAAGTGAGGTCAAAAATGTAGAAATTGATCTGCCAGATAAGTTTGAGACTAGCTGCCATAAACTCAGCTTCTCTGAATGCTGAAGCTCTGCATCTTTCAGTATCACCTACTTATCTGACATAGTCTGCTATCTCATTACTGTGAATCTGCCTTTACCTCTGAGGCAAATTTTCTTCTCGCTTCCCCAGCCTGCTTATGAAATATTTTCCTAAAACCCATCTCTGTCTCTGTTGATTCCTGCCAGGAAATCAGCAGTGACACTTTTTAGCCTTGTTTTTATGGTTGAGCGTTTTTATAAAACCTTTTATTGTTTTTTTTTATTGCTACTATCTCCTGTCTGCCCCTCTCCACCTATTATTGTGTTACGTATTTATTATATCTCCTGTGAAATTGAACTGTATGATTTTCTGGGAAAAGATTTAATGTCACATATTCAAAGGTACCTACCAATAATATTCAATGATGGAAAAATAGGCACAATTGCTGTAGTTCACTAATGCCTATTAATCATTTTTTGAGATGTCCCTGATGAGTTTTATTGTTAACTGTCCAATACTTACCCTCTTGCAACTGAATTTTTGATTTTAGGATTTTTGGTGCTGTAGTAGGATATGCCTGAAGTAGGATATGGCTTCAGCCAGAGAACATGAGTTACAGTAGTTCAATGGAGCAATTTTGCTCCATTTGTATAAAACATATACAGAATGTATGTTTGTCTAAACCATATGTCAGTATGTTGTGCTTCATTCCCTGCTTTGTACCTTTGCATTCATGGAGCTTTTCACTTTTCTTTGAAAAACTCTTGAGGAGGTACCTGCCTGCTGTAGGACCCTGCTCCATTTTGCTTCCCCTCTGCACTGCCTCCTTCTGTAATGGGTACTTCAGAATTATAAGCGTAGTTTCACTGCACAGTGGTGTAGCAAAGTAGAAGCACCTTTGCCGTAGTGCCATCTAGTGAGCCAGGTGTGAAGGTAATTTAAATATTGCAGATTTTGGGGTAGGGACGGTAAACTATTTACAGCCTGTCCCACTTGGTATGATCTTATCTAGAGTTTTCCTGCTGCTACTGCTTCCCTCCCAGTGTGGTGCCACGGGAGCAGTGGTAGCACTCACAGAGGAGAGAGGAAGAGATCTAGGGCTGCTTTGCAGATACTGGTTCTGGCACACGTGCCATGCAGTTGTCATTGCTGCTCTAGAAAGAACGGGACAGTAAGGATACTCCCATGCAGATCTTCCTCTACTACTTAGTGGTTTCTGTGTCTAAATGTGTCCTGGTAAAGCATCCCCTTTCCCCTTACCAGGTATGATCAGGCCAATTGTTTTGCTGTTTGGAGAGAAAAATATTCATTTGATGCCAGAAAGAAGAGAGAGTGCAAGTTTTTGGATCTTAGCAAAAGGTTGGAAATGATTCTTTGCCAGGCTGGCAAAGAATTTTTATTGGGCGAAGCTCTGCCAAGTCCTTCTTTTTTGGGTGGTGAGAGAAAGAGGGAAGTCAAGGGAAGGTGAACAGAAACCCATACTGTCTGTTCATGCTTTGTCATAGAGCTCTTTCCTGTCACCGCTGTAGGCTTCTGCACTTGCCTTTTTTACTCTCCCTGTTAGCTGACTGGACCTCATTGCTTTAATCTGGAGAGGTCTACGGCTTATCCTTCTGTGGGTGACACTGCTTGGGGGTTTGGTTTTTGTTTTTCAATCTAGAATCTGCTTGTAACAAGAGCAAGAGTGAGGTGGCCAAAAACCATTTTCTTTAGTAAGCTCAGATCTCCACAGTTTTGGAGAATGTGTTTTCCTGTCCTTTGCAGCTGGTGTCCAGAAGATATTGCCTTTCCACTTGGATTTCCTTGAGGTGCAGCTACAGCAGTGTATCAGATTGAAAATATCAACTTTTATCTGCCAAAGTGGAAAGGGAGTTTAAATGAACATAAGCACAGAATCTGGTTCCAAGGAGGAGAGCTTTTGATCTTTGACTCATTACACAGATGCTAAATCTGATGCAAATCCATGTAGCACTTCCTTTAAATCCTCTTGGCTCAAGCAGTAAGAAGAGAGCAAAAAAGGTTTCAGATCTCAGAAATATGACTATATAATGGGAGAAGGAGCCATTCCCCAACTACTGAGAGAGAAACAGCAGAAATAAGTAATTTCCCCAATAGTACCTGAGTATTTCCTCTCTCTAGAGCGAATCTAACTAGATTACTATTGAATATTCCCAAACAGAATGAATGGGAGAATTACCCTCCTCAGGTGTTGGTAGTGACAGAGGAGTCCTCAATATGGAATTAGTCTCCAAGGAATACGAAAAACAGTCAACTGAGAGCTTAACAGCTGTACTAGTGGAGATCCCTTCACAAAGATGTGTGTATCATATTCCAGTGACTGGAGACACTGACAAAATGGTTTGTCCACCACCATGTGAGATCATGTAGCATAGGAGGGAAGGCAAAAATTATAGAGACCCCAAAAGCCATAATCCCAACCTATATCTCTTCATAAATGTGTGTTTAGGGGCCTTTAAAATATATATAGATCAGATTTTTCTCAGATTATACCCTGTAGCATAGAGGCACTTATCTCCCATTGATTTCAATACCTAAATGAGAGTTGTAGATCTCAAATTGTCTTTGAGGAGGTAGCCTTTAGTTCCTGACTGTTGCTGAAAATAAGAATACTTGTCCATAGCTGGAACCTTTTAATGAGCTCTGTTAGCTTCTGAACAAGTCTGTGTTCCCTGCAAATCAATATTCTGGGCCAGATCCTAACTCGAGTCCTGCAGTGCACATTGCTCCACTAACTGGTTTCTAAAATGTGAATTGTGTGTGCCTGTAGAATGACATTATAATTTCCTGCCTTTTGAGTGGCTGGATGTTCAACTTTAATGTTCTCTTAATGTAATTTTAATGAGCTTTCCTAAGGCTTTTGAGTGGGAGAAACTTTTAAAAAAATCTATAATGTGGTCTAGACACTACTCCAATGACCTTATTCCCACAGAAGTAAGAAATTCAGTAGGGAATTCCTCCTCCTGAAGGTTCAGGAAACTGCAGCTTCTGACTTAGAGGCAGCGTGATTGAAGCAATAGTTCTCACGGAGTCCAAACTCAGTTGCTGCACATATCACGAGATGCAGGGTAGATGAGGCAAGGGCTGACAGGCTACTTTCTTTTTTACTGTCAGCTATGTATGTATGCACAGCACAACTTTCTTTACTCTGTATATTTCAAAGTGCTAAAAAATCATACCAATTGTACTCTGCATGCTCAAAGTGCAGATTTCAAAGGTTCATGACTCAGTCAAATCAAAATCAATTTGCACCAGAACACTCAGAGGCACTTCTTCGTACCGAGGGCCATTTCTATGCTAAATTTCAACTCTCTTCTTGATTTTGAGGGGGGAGGGAGGGAGAGGGAAAAGTTGCAAAAATTCTCATAATGGTAAAGTGGTTTTCTTCACTTCTTTCTCATGCCAAATAGTTGAACTGCATTAATTCAAACAAAATTTCACCTTCTGGGCAGAGACCAGGCCAAGAAAATGTCACTCCAAAAGGTGAAAGCACAACTGAATTAGAAAAAGTGTAGCTTGGAAAGGTACATGAAAACTTAAATACTCTGATCAGTAATATTTCTACACTAGCTTCACTTCAAAGGAAAAAATATTCTGCCTTATTCCACTGTAATAACTGTAGAGAATGAGGAATAGCCATCAGCATGTTACATGATAATTGATTTTAATCATTTGATGACATTATTATAATATGTAATAATTTGGTAGCTAAGTCTCACCTCTGTTTGAAATGTAAAATCAGTTCGTTGTCACTGTTTTTCCTGGCCCCGAAGCTGTGTAAAACTCAGTGTATGTCTGCACTGTGAATGCTTGGTGTGCAGCATAGCGATTTCTGAGCAAGACCAAAGGGGCAAGCCCAGGTCCTTGGAGCTTGCTGAAGATGCGCAGAGCTCTGCGCTGTCTGGTTGCAGAATATATTAGTGTATGTGGAGCTTTCTGTGGCCTTGCTTCCTCTGTCTAGTTGGCTCAGTTATTCATTCCTGTATAGAGAACAACCTGAAGAACATTTCAAAGTGGCTCTGTTGGCCACACTCCGCTCAGGGTTTTCTGCTGATAATGACCATCAGGGTAGCACAGTCCTACTCTGAAAATCCAGTGCATCCCCCTCTCCCTCCTACCTCCTTTGCTGGAGAAAGGCAGACAAAAAACAACAGCTCAGTGTCTGTGCAAGCTGGAGATTCTAAAATTAATGTGCCCCATACGGCACCTTTTAGCTTCTTTTCTCCACAATCATGGGGAAAAGGAACTGCATCATAGTCCAGATTGGGGCAACTGTTTCAGATGCATTGCAGGAGGTCTGTTGTTAAAGACTTACTTCTACTACAAGATACCACTAAAGAGTTATTATTTATTCCTTCATGTACTCCCTGGAAAACAACTAGTTTTGCTTTCCTTCCTTCCTTCCTTCCTTCCTTCCTTCCTTCCTTCCTTCCTTCCTTCCTTCCTTCCTTCCTTCCTTCNTCCTTCCTTCCTTCCTTCCTTCCTTCCTTCCTTCCTTCCTTCCTTCCTTCCTTCCTTCCTTCTTCCTTCCTTCCTTCCTTCTTTTCCTTTTTTTTTCAGTAGGTATATTTGAAATCAAAAGCAGCACAGAGAAAACTTTTAGTACTGTATTTTCTTCTGAGGAATGTTCTGTCACATACCAAAGTTGGTGATAAAATCTGAGAGGAAGAGAAACTTAAACTGTCTGGATCTAAAAATTGACCTACTTTGAAGGTTGTCCTCTGTAAGAGTTTAATTTACTGATCAACCAAATGTAGATGTATTGGTGTTCGTGCGCTGTGATAAAATTCTGTAAAGAACATGAAATGTGACAATGATCTTTGAAAAGCTAGGTTATAGAAGTGATATTACAGATTTTAGTAATGCTTTAAATTAAGTGTCTTCAATATGCTTAACCTTGCATTAAACTTAGATTTAATAAGACAGATGTGTATTAAGCACTGAATATACTTAAGGGAGCAATCTTGCATTGGCAGGGGATGGACTCAATGACCTCCTAATAGTTCTCCTCCATCTCTAATTTCTATGATACTAATTGATTATTAAAACACTTTTATTGAGGATTGATATGTAGCTATTATATAGTTATTAATCTTACAACCCAACTGATATTTAATTTATACATGATTTTAACATGCAATGTCATTTTAGTTTTTAGAGAGTAACCCACGACAGTGCATTCACTGAAGCTCTGAAGATTCTCGCTGGGAAAAGCAGCTTGATGTTTCAGGGTTATTTGGAATTTTATGATAAAATCACACCTTGCAGGAGTAAGTTTACAGAGCTGTTCACATTAAAAATTAAAAGTTTGTCTGGGCTACAGCATGCTTCTGAAAAGATAAAGAAGCTTGCCATGAAGAAAGGTACATTTATTTTGTTTAAATACCATATAATGTCAGATCGCAAACAGTAACTAAATTTCAAATATTTTAAAGGTAACTTCTATCTCAACTTTAGAATTGTAAAGGAATTTCTCAAAGCTGTGAGACTGAAGAAAGTGGTGAAGAAAGTGGGATTTTGAACCTACAAAATTCTTTTCTGTGAATGTTTGGCTAAGCAAAAAGCAGAAGATTTGCAGAGCTGTGTTATTAATTCATCTTGTAGATGCCTAGGGCCATGGCTCATAATGGCATTCCTTTCTTTTTAACAGACTGTCTGGATTTTCAAAGGACATCCAGAAAGCCGTAAGTGCCTATTTGTTGGATGTATTTCTCGTACCCCAAAGGCTTTCTTTGATATGGACTGATCTTTTACATTTACTGATGGAAACTGCTTTCAAAAATGCCCTTTGTGAGAACATGCAGTATCTCAAGAGTTGCAAGCATCTGATTTTTGGCTAAGAAATTATGAACTCTGAATGTCAGAACTCTGAATGTTTTTTGAAATAGGATTTTCAAATAATTAACAGCAGGGAAAAATATGAATGAATGCAAAATGTGATACAAATACTTACTAATGCTTGAAAATTTTTTACTTCAAATAATATGGAGGAGGGGGTACAAATGCTGCTTGATTTGCTCATAAGATTTTGAGATTCTTGTGTCTGCTTTGTGATAAATGTTTACATTCAACATATGTCTTTTGATGTCAGAAGTGTAATGACCAAGTTTTGTTTTTTAATCAGGAGGCTGGAATGCAGATGGAAAAGGCCTTAATGGCTGGGACACATTCACCCATCAGGGAGGAGATCGAGTTTTCAAGAACCAGACTGGTGATGTAGCTTGTGGCAGCTACACTCTGTGGGAGGAAGATTTGAAATGTATCAAACAGCTTGGATTGACTCATTATCGCTTTTCTCTTTCCTGGTCACGTCTGTTACCTGATGGGACGACAGGTTTCATCAACCAGAAAGGCAATTGTTTCTTAAAAATAGAAGGTTGCAGTTTTAATTCAAGGTTATTGCTGCAGTCTGGCATAATTAATCCAGTATGCTATTCTGCAGTGTGGCTTTGAAATTGCAACTTTTTTCACAGTAATTATGGGATGATTTTTATAGGTTTGCAACAACTTACTAATTAATATTCTAGGTCCCCTTGGATAGCACAATCTTTGGGAATAGGATTAGCATTATGTTTCCTATGTATTTTTTTGCTTACTCCATTTTTTTAAATTGTAGCTCTAAATCACTTTGTTTCATCAGAATGTTTATACTTACAGGGATCCTAGCCATGAGAATATCTTTGGATGGCTTTCAAAAGACAAATCTCTTATTTGGCCAATACATTTAGATAGTTTGTCAGTATAACCATATGTACTGAACTCCACATCTACTGTTTTACACTGTGTAAGAGAGACAGAATTTCTGCAAATATTTTCATTACTTAGAAAATGAGGAGGAATTTTTCATACTCAGCTAGCAATTATGCTTAGCTCTGTGTCAAACACAAGCCAGTTCCTGCTCTGAAAGGAATGGCTTTCACAATCTCATCAAGCAATGTAAAATGTAAGTTAACAGGGACACAGCACATAAACAGACTGGTCAGATTGCTAAATGTCAGATATAAAATTTGTTGCACTTCTGCTTTATTTTTTTTTTAACTTCTCAGGTATAGACTGAAGGTGACTTACTGTGAAAAGCAAGAAGAGGGTAGATTTGCTTCCACAGTGTGGGGGGAAAAAAAAAGAAATGAGGGAATTATAAAAAATAAAAGGAAATGAAACTGAACCAGCAAGGATAGGAGAACCAGGGCAGTTATCTGAGGCCTCTTGTGTGTCGGTGGCAGAGTGTTCCCATAAAAAAAAAAAAAGAAATTAGGCTTGGATGAACGTTTGAATCTCAACCCTATCTCCTCTCTTCTGAATCTCATTTCAACAGAGAAAATCTCTTTGTACTGCTGTAGTAGGGTTTGCCTTGGCAATTCTTTTCTTGCACTGCTTTAAAGATAGCAAAGATGGAAAGCTGCAAAAGAAAGGATGTCTTAAAAGATGCACCTTGAGGTTGTTGTTATCCATACCAGAAAATACCAGCAGAAGGAATGTTTCGCTGCAGAAATTTGGTCCTGCAGAATTTCAGCTGTTGAAGTGGGCAGCAGCCCATGCTCTGCATCCCGCAGGAGGCCCTTCCCACCAGCAAGCAGAGGAGCCTGTTTCAAGAATTTGCAAGGGGAACTGGTGACTCTGCTCTGAATAGACCAACCAACCATGTCCACCGCAGAGCAGGGCTGCAGGACTGCACCAGCCTCCCACAGGGGCCTCACTGCAAGCTGCACCTTTGCCAACACCATGTGCCGCACACAGCCTGCTTTTACTAGCACAGCTTCTCCAGGAATGCATTTGGTGGCCTACTGAATTTATATTTAGCTGAGAACTTGTGTTTTCTCCCACGTCTGCCACTGCTCCTGAACAGGCTTCATTGTTTAGTTGTCAGAGTGGGAGAGAGCAAACAGACATGAGGGATGTGCTTCATAAGGAAAGCCAACGTTTTGACAAACCTCAGCTATAATTTCAGAAAACATTCACTTGATTCCCAGTATAAGCAGTTGCCTGATTAATATTATGAACATTACATTTAGCAAAAGGGCATTGGAAGAACTCCAAGTAGGCCAGTTTTCATTAGGCAGGAGTTCACTTCCCTTGTGCAGTGATCTGTTGAAGCAATCGTAGCTGCATCGCAAGGAAAGGCCATCATCTCCTATATAAACATTTTTTAAAGAGCATGTGAGGAATTAGAAAGCTTAGAGCACTGTCCTTTCAAATAAAATCATTCACACCAACTGATTCACTACCAATTTCACACCTAAAACTTAGGACATCTGAAACCTTTAAAATCCCTCTGTTTCTAACTCATAGCATGGTGGTGGGGAGCTCTTTTACAGCAGCAATCCTGTAGGTCTGTTATTGCCAAAAAACGTCAGGTTTTAGGTTAAAACTTATCCCAAATTTCTTTTTAAAGAATTTTTGTACAAATATTTTTACCCTAGGAGTTTTTCTGAGCAGATTAAGTTAGCTGCTAAACGCTAGATGTCAGTCTGGAGGAGAACAGAAGTAGCTGGCATAGGGATAGTGTCTCAGAGAAATGGTGTTATGCCCTACTTCAGCAAAAAAAAAGAGAATCAAGATGGGGGATAAAGATGGAAAAGAGAAGAACAAGCCTTCATTTTCCGATGTGTTTCTTAATGTCTGTAATCCCTAAATGTCTGAAGAATCTCCATTCCAAGTTGTGCATACCTGTTGGTATTCCTGTACTTATTTTCCCCAGGAGAATGCAGAACCTTCCTTCTGCATTCTGCTTACAGAGACAGCAGATAGCCATACAGAGATAGCCATAAACATGAGATCAGGCTATTTTGGAAAGCATGAATTAATCTGGAAGTTTGACCTGGCAATTATATTTTTTCAGGGGTGCAGTTTCTCTTGGTAACACAAAGCATAAATCTTTTCCATTATTGGTGTTTAATTGATATGTAAAAAAAAAAAAAAGACAGCTGTTTGTGCTTAAATGTTAGAAATTTCAATAAGTAATATATAATCTGAAAATTAGAATGGGCAACTTTTATTGTCTTTCTGGGAGCACTGCTCTAAATCTGATAAAACAAGATCCTGTACCAGTGAAGGTATTATTTTATTATCCCCAGATTAAGTTTTTGCAGTAAACCTCGCTGTCCCATCAGCAAAGAGTTAACTCGTGACCAGAATAGTCACTGAAGTGAAACAGTAGTAACAGACTGAATTTGCTTCTAACTGGATGCAAATTACAAGAATGATCTTTTTCAAATATTAAAATTCTGATGAATTCCATCCCTTTTTACATGGTGCACTCACAGCCATGTATTGCCTCAGAATGTGCTGTGTTTTTGTGCTGCTGTATTTAGAAGGAAAAGCAAACTACCTGTGAGATTTATTGTGAATTACTGTGTTAGAAAGCTTATTGAGTCTTGTTGTGATAAAGGGTGCATATGCATCCGTTTGTTTGCAGGAAGAAGCACTCTCAATCTGGAGCTCATAATCGCCTGTTACAGTAAGTGCTATATTAGAAAAAGAGCTTGACAGAAATCCTTAAGACCAGCCATTTGAAGTTAGGGCAATTTAAGTCTTACACTGTCCTTTTGAGGATAAAGTAGTATAGGATTTTGTGTCAGCATTCTTAAATACCAATACAGAGTAAGCTGAACCTAAAAACCTAAGGGAAGAAGCCAGTGTAGTATAAAAATATTTATTCATGAACAAGTGGCCTGTTTTGGAGTAAAAAATTCTCTGATTCACAATCTGTTAAAAATAATAAACCGTATCATACATCATTTCCTAATCATACCTTTTGTTAGTCTGTGCAGCCTAGTCTTCCTTTCTTCTTTTTCTCTCTCTCCTCCGTATTCTTAGCTTCTTTAATCCTTTCTTAGTTTGTGTTTCAATCAAGCAGGGTTTGGGAACTTCCATTGAATTTTAGATTAGATTAAAACCAATGTAGTTGTATCTGGGTTTAAGCAAAATTAGAAATTCTTGTATAAGAGCTTAAAGTATCCTGATATTTAAACTTACAGTGACCTCTCAGCAGCATAAAAATAGTTCTTTAGGAAACATATTCATGTCAGCCACAGCTAAATCCAAACAGAAGTTAAATTCCTGTTAAGCCTCTAGAAATACATCTCCAAAGTTTTCTCAGTGTTGGTCAGCTTAAACAATCCATCCAGAAAATTACAGTTGGTCTCTGTCATGTCAAGGCAGGGAGGAGAGGGAAAGGGTAAGAAAGGTTGGAATTCTTGAGCTTTTGCAGAATTGAGATAATTCCTTCTTGCAACTAGAGGGACTGAGCTGTCTGTAGCTGTGGTAATGTAAAAGGAAGAGACTTGGTTTCTTGGATAAACTAATAGCAAATCATTGATGTTGGTAGCTAAAGAGACCAATGTCCTAAATTCCATCTAAAAGCTATCAGAGCCCAGTGAAAGCCATATATGTCATATAGATCTGGCAAGACATCCTATCTAGTGAGGGAACCACTGAATTCACACCATTCTAGATTATCTGTAGTTAAAATATATGGAGTGCATCAGCAGTATCCTCTTTGTCTTGATGATGATGTGGAGAATGATGGACAACAAAACAGTCTAGAGAAACAATTTACCTGGCTGAGTTCAAAGCATAAAAGATCAGCTCAGTTACCTGGCTGAGTCTCACAGTAAACTTTTTAAAAGGTAAAGTTTTCAAGGAAAGAAACATTTTCGTTAGGAACAAATCCATTTGTCAGAATCTCATTCTGTGAGAAATTCTGTGTCAGAATTTTTCCAAAGCATTTAGATCTTGTACATGTCACTATGCTCCCATTCAGGTATTTAAATGACAGGACTTTATTTTTGTGTAACTAGTACCCATCAGCATTATGCTTCTTCTGGAGTTTCTGTCTGATCTATTCTGTAAATTCTGCATTCTCATTTCATTTTATGTACTTGGTTGGAAGACACTGTGTCCTGAGAATTTTTGCCAGCTTTTGGGTCTTGTAACAGTCAGCATGCCGTGGAGAGTGAGTGGTTGCATCTGATAACAGAGGAAAATGTGTAGTAAGATTTCTTCGTATTTTAAAATGTATTAAAGTTATTAATTTATCACTTTTTTTCTTTTAATATTTTCAGGAATCAGTTATTACAAACTCATTAATGACTTTCTGGCAAATGGTGTTCTGTCCATGGTCACAGTGTACTACTTTGACTTACCTCAGCCCTTAGAAGATGAAAATGGCTGGAGATTTGGAAAGATCAATGAGAGCTTTGATCACAGAATCACAGAATATTGAAGGTTGGAAGGGACCTCTAGAGATCATCTAGTCCAACCTTCCTGCTCAAGCAGGCACACCTAGAGCATGTGGCACAGGGTGGCATCCAGGCGGGTTTTGAAGACCTCCAGAGAAGGAGACGCCACAACCTCCCTGGGCAGCCTGTTCCACTGCTCTGTCACCCTCACTGTGAAAGACGTTCCTCCTCACCTGGAGACGGAACTTCTTGTGTTTCAGCTTGTGGCCATTACCCCTCGTGCTATCGCTGTCCACCAGTGAAAACAGCCTGTCCCCTTCCTCCCTGCATTCTCCCTTCCTGAACTTATACATGTTAATCATATCCCCTCTCAGCCTTCTCTTCTCCAGAGAAAACAGGCCCAGCTCACTCAGCCTCTCCTCGTACGAGAGATGTTCCATTCCCTTAATCATCCTAGTGGCTCTTCTCTGGACCTTCTCGAGAAGCTCCACATCCCTCTTATACTGGGGAGCCCAGAACTGAACACAGTACTCCAGGTGCGGCCTCACCAGAGCTGAGTAGAGGGGCAGAATCACCTCCCTTGACCTGCTGGCAACACTCCTCCTGATGCAGGCCAGGATCCCATTGGCCTTCTTGGCCACGAGGGCACACTGCTGACTCATTGTTAACTTAGTGTCAACCAGGACTCCCAGGTCCCTCTCCATGGAGCTGCTTTCCAGCAGGTCGACCCCTAATCTGTACTGGTGCCTGGAGTTATTCCTCCCCAGGTGCAGGACCCTGCACTTGTCCTTATTGAACCTCATGAGGTTCCTCTCTGCCCAACTCACCAGCCTGTCCAGGTTCCTCTGGATGGCAGCACAGCCCTCCGGAGTGTTGGCCACTCCACCCATTGATATTTATGATATTCAGAGGAAAAAAATGTGGACAGTGTCTGTAGCTGTGAAGATAGATTGGGTAGAACCTCTGGATCCAAAATTTGTGAGAAGACAAGAAATAACTAAGAAGTCCCTGTCCTTTAGACTAGTTTATGAGAACGATATTTACAGGTATCCAGGTACCCAGGTATCATGAAGTTCCATATTTCTGCAATAAGTTCAAATGAAAGTTACTTATCATTAAGGCTTCTGGAATTCCTTAAAGGAGAAAGAAAAATGAGCATGAGTACTACTAATTTCTTTGCAGTGAACTATTACACTTCTTGCAAAAATGGAGACCATGAACATACAGAATAAGTTAAGTATTTCATTAAATCATGAAGCTGAATAAATAATGGATTCTTGGCCTGTTGCAACTGGGAGTTCATGGCTGGCAATAGTAGCATGCAATTTTCATTACCTTCCAAATTATATCAAGGTAAGATATAAGACTTACAGAATCATTTACTAGCTGGCCCATGAGGGGATCTGAGAATACAGTGAATAATAGGTGTTTTTTTCCCCTCTCCTCTCCTCTCCTCTCCTCTCCTCTCCTCTCCCTTAGCACATCTTAGTGGCACAAGATATTGTATAAGAATATAAATAAACAAGTCACCTTGGGATTCTTAATTTAATTTTTGCATACTAGCTATAAAGAGCAGAAGCCTCAGTACTTTCTTACTGCCTTTGTACTTGAAAGTTATTTTACAGTTCTAAATGACACGGTCATGTTATATCATCTTTTGAACTCCAGAAATGATCTTTCTGATGCCAGCAGTAAGGCTTTCCTGGCATGCATCTACTACTGGCAATGGGATGTGTGGTGACTGCCAGTACCAAGGGGTTAAGAAAGAGTGACAATAAGCAGATGCTAATGCAGGAAAGATATTTTAGTCTTCTCATTAAGATAAGTCATTTCACTGTCTTCATGGATATTTGCACAGTTTTGCTTTTCCATTGTTAGTCATAAAAGGTCAGCTCATGGAAAATTAAGTTAATAGGGTCAGTGCAATTTGATGAAAACTAGTTTTAGTTTGTAGCTTATAAAAGACAGAGGGTAATGCATCTGATTTTATGGGCTTTCTTACATCTGTTCTGAGTAAAACTTCTGCTCTCTCATTCTAGGATACGTATAATAACCCTATAATTTACATCACTGAAAATGGGTTTTCCCAAAGTGACCCTGCTCTGCTTGATGACTGTCAACGATGGCAGTATTTGAGCCTGATTTTACAGGAAATTTTAAAAGGTACCATTTAACATGATGAAAGATCAATTGTGCAAACTTAATACAATTTTCCTTTGTGCCTACTTGCGTTCAGCAATGACCAATGATTCTTGAAGCTAAAAGTCATGTAAATCAGGGTAAAGTGAAGTAATTAAGAAAAAAAATGTTTAGTTGAAAGGAAAGCAAATAGTTTCATCCCTGCTTCCTGGTCTTGGGATGGAAATAGAGGAAAATGTGCTCCATATACTTATTATTTTTAAACTCAGTTTTGCACGGACAAAGTTTTTCATTGAATCAAGCAACCACACTGATGTTTAAAAGTGCTCATCACTCACACTTCTCCTTGTGAAATATAAAGTCGAGTGCACCTGAAAACCTGACTGTTAGATCTCATATTGCTCACAGAATACAATCTGATGCAATATTTCATGCCTGTGCAAAGTCATTAAACCATTACAATTCAGTTTCTGCCTTATGTCAGGATGGTCAAAAGCGCACAGGCAAAGTCTTCAGGATGCGCACAGGCATAATTCTGTTTTTTCAGAAGGTGTTTTACTGTTAGCTTTGATGAAAACAAAGTTGGTCCAATACAGAGATCTTCTGGAAATTCCACCTCTGCCTTTCTCATGTTGGCAGTATTCTCAGAGAAAATTCACAAGGAATGCACCTTCTGGCTATATTTCTAGTGAACTCACAGAATCACAGAATGGTTAAGGTTGGAAGGGACCTCTAGAGATCATCTAGTCCAACCTTCCTGCTTGAGCAAGAACACCCCAAGCACGTGGCACAGGATGGCATCCATTTGGGTTTGGAAGACCTCCAGAGAAGGAGACTCCACAGTCTCCTTGGGCAGCCTGTTCCAGGGCTCTGTCACCCTCACAGTAAAAAAGTTCTTCCTCATATGGAGATGGAACTACCTGTGTTTCAAATTACACTCATTGCCCAATGTCCTATAACTCGCCGCCACTGAGAAGAGCTTGGCCTCTTCCTCCCTACATTCACCCTTCAGATATTTATACATATTAATCAGAACCCCTCTCAACCTTCTCTTCTCCAAGCTAAACAGGCCCAACTCACTTAATCTCTCCTCAAACTCAACGTGTACTAGTCCATAAGTGAGCTGCTAGTTCAAGTTTTTAACTCAGATATCCTGCAGAACAGGATATTCCGATGTGTTCATTTTATTAAAGATTTAAATGCTTATCCATTTATTAAGTGTTATGTGAAGCAGAGCACTTTAATTGTTCTGTGTACAATATCAACTTGACAGCAATTCCTTATCTTTTGTGCCAACTTTTGAAACAATCAATACAGGCTCATTCATACCAGGAGCTCTGGGTCATGACAGGGACCTATGTTGATTTCAGTGTAGCATCATTTGGGCAAGCCTTTTTATAACCATTTTGTTTAACAAATAAATTTATGTTATAATTGGATTGATAGTGTCCTCACTTCATATTTTTTATATAAAAACCTTACGGTTGAGATGCCATTAATTTTCCCCTTAAATATGTTGGAATGAAGCAGGAAAGAAAATGGGATACATGAAACGTAGATTGCAATAGGAGGTGCAGGACAGAACAAAAACAAACAATAAGCCAGGTGGTACAGCTAAGAGGATATTAAAAATGCACCTTAAGTTACTTGCAGTCCCTTCTGGTCTGCCTTTTCTTTTTCTTCTTTGTCCTTTTCTCCCCATAGACTTCTGAGAGTTGTAATAAAACCTTGTATATATTGTTGTCACTGCACACTTTGACCTTGCTTTCGTGAACTAAACCATTTAGTCTGTGATGTAGATACATACTAGGCTGCTGTTTCTGCATTTCCATGCACATTGAGAAGTGAGCCTATAATGCAATACTGTGGTCCATGAAAATATGATTTACTGTTAAATTAAATACGGATGTCATAATGTGAGCCCCTCAGGTCAACTATAAGCTTGAATGTTATTGAGAGAGCTACAGCAACAGCTCTGTTTCTTCATTGCTGCTGACAAAAATGTCTCTACAAATAGAATACAACAATGCAGACATCTTAAGGAGTCACTGAGATATGCTGTGCCTGGCATAACATTGCCATGTGACATTTTCAAGAACTATAAATACATTGACTGCTTTATAGTATGAAACTTAAGGAGCTATGCAGTGGTCACTGCAGAAGTGTTAAACTTATTTTGTTGTGAATACTATGAAGGATTCAGTGATCTTAAAAAAAAAAAAAAACCAAAAAAACAAAGCCATATGGATATGTTAGCACAGAGACAGTGTATTCATCCGATTTTATTATATAGTTTAAAAAGAGCTGTGCTAGAAAATCTCTCTTCTATTAGAAATAGGACTTATATAAGAGACTGACCAGCAGACTGAACAACAGAACAGGATCATCCCTCTAGAGGAGTGAATTCCTTCCTTCCTTTCCTTTCTTTCTTTCTTTCTTTCTTTCTTTCTTTCTTTCTTTCTTTCTTTCTTTCTTTCTTTCTTTCTTTCTTTCTTTCTTTCTTTCTTTCTTTCTT